TCTGTAAGGATATGCTCGGGTTGAACCATTACCATCACTTACAAAATTAATAACATAAAAGGTAATTAGTTATAATTAAATTTATGATTCATTTTGATTTGTATACCTTATGTATATCCAGACAATGTCACGACTTTATTAACATAGTATGATGTGGTTGCGGAGTGAAATTAAACCAGAGGCCTTCCTTGAAAATAACTTGCTTGGGTGCAGAGCAAAATGCTTTACACAATGAAATATAAATTTCAAAGATGAATGGATACACTATGCAAGACTGGTCTATATTTCTATTATAAACTGTGGAATTTTGATGAAATTATATTTTACAACTTCGCATCTGCAGTAACAATCTTCATGTATTATTCTTTATCTATCCTCTACTGGTTTTTAAAGAAATCTTCTTGTGTTAATATATTTCCGTAGTAACATAAACTTAGAGTTATGAGAAGACCTTTAATAGTCAGGTGTAACTATAGCCAACAAGTAATTTTTTTCTTTGCTAGTATTCCCAAACACGAAAGAAATTCAGATCAAAATGCTCGAGATATCTCGTGTTTAGCAAGGAAAGGCTTAAGAATAAATTATACAAATAAATTAATATTGTTCGTTAATGAAAATTAGTTCATTATTGAACAGAAATAAGTACTTAGCCACAAAATATGGAAATACAGAAGAATTTCTTTATACTCTGCTTTGTTTTCCGCGTTTCTGCGTATCCACGGTTTTATTTCAGTGTCATGAGGGGCGTCAGTGTTCCTGCCTTAACGTCAGAACCTGCTGCGCGCGCAGTTTCCCTTACTATTCCTTCCACTTTGCCTCAGTCATATACCCCCCTTCCTCAAACATGCTCATTCTTCTTTCAATGCGTTCCCCATTTTACGCGCTTTCGATATAGTCAATGATGTTCAGAAAAGCAACACTCGCGAATAACGGGAGTCACCTGTATACATGTTGCTCCAGAAGTAGATATACAGTTTTTAAATCATTCATTTGATGAGACTTTACACATTGCAGGGAAATATAAATTTAGACATACATTTTATACAAAAAAAAAACTGTGTTAGGAGGATTGCTGCATTATGTGAGAAGTTGCTGATTTTAATTTTAACAAGAGATTATCTTTCCCATAATTGCATGCTATTCGTGACTTGAACGCAATGGTGTACGGGTTGTTCTGCATATTTTTCGATATTTAATATTAACAAATAATGAAAGAGAAAAATAAAGATCAAGTACAGCTTGTTCTCTGTCAAGATATACATTTATAAGAAAGAATTCTATTGCGTCTTATTATCTGTTCCTCCTTTATTTTCTCCTTTTTCTAAGACAAAATAATCCAAGTCAGTTTAAAACATTTTTTTGAATTTCTTATTTAGTGCTTTTTCTTTTGTCACCTCTGTCTCATCTTTATTTTATAATACAGGCTTTAAAGACTGCTTGGTTTCCTTATACTGTTTTCTCTTCTGTCGGCAAGAAAACCAGTTTCGGAACTTAGTTACTGTCGGTCGAAACAGAGATGTGTGTAGGGAGGCAAAGTGGGGGAAAAGGAACAACTCATATGCGCATTAGGCGAAGGAGTGGGGCTGTACCCCCTGACATTCCTATTTCGACAGACAATGCAGTTCAATTAGCATTTTCAGTGAATGTGATCTAAATAACAAAATATTAAAATAAACAGTTTTAGGGGTAATTAAAAAGTATACACTAAACAAATTATTCCTTTACATATATAAAACTAATAAAACCATATTTCTTTAGAGCATTGTACCATCTCCATATTATTATTACCATATTTTAATATTACATTATACCATATTATAAATATGAATTTAATATTTTGTAAAATGAAAAACACTTCCTTGAAGGTTTATATCTTCTGGAATATGACGCCGTGTAGTTTATTAGAAGTTTGCTGAGGATTCGGCGAAACTTTCAGCTTCTATCTTCGGGGTAGAAGACTAATTGAAACAGGTGACCATAGAAAATCAGGTGACAAGCACAGTTCTGTTTGCTTGTTACGTACTTAACTTACTTTTCAACTCCGAAGAAGAAGGTTGTACCTTGCTCGAAAACTACAGTGATATTCTTCCAAATTACAAAGCGTAATATCCCAGATGACAGCCACCTCCATTCGCACGTCCACGAGAACCCATGATCCGGTCTTCTCTCTTTTGTTCTCAGTTTCAATTTACAAGAAATTTTTACTCCTTTCTCTCATTAAGCAATATATGTTCTTGTTGAATCATTGCATCTGTTTATGAGTAATAAATATATAATATTTCTGATATGTGACTGTCGTATATTTCTGATTACTACCATTCATAATTGTGTGTATGTGTGTATGTGGAAAAACCTCTGCTTATTTCTCAGTACGGATAATACCGCAGTTCACTGAACACGATTTCTCTAAGCTTTAAACCAGACACAGAAATAATACCACGTATGGGCTTCGGAGAGAAATAGAGCCCGAATGTATAAAAAATATACAGAATCATTACATAAGTACATGAAAAGGGAACTTTTTATAGAATTACACATAACATTAACAGCCATAACTGCCTTTCCTTACAAGATTCTTAAGATACTGTGGCAAATAAGTTTATATAACTTTAGTTCTTTTAATTTGAATGCGAACCGAATGCAATAAGTTATCCTTCCTTATAAATACACACCTATTTTCCTACACATAGTAATCATTCAGTGGGACGGGGGGGGAGGGGGTCTAAATTTTGAAATAATTTTTTTTAACCTTTTACTTTGGATGTTACTGTCAATAATTACAAAATAACAACTGCAAGGAATCACTGCTGTCATTCGTTAAAAAATAAGTATTCATTTCCTTACAATATATTTTCCCTTAGTCGTTAACGATGTATTCGAAAACGTTACACGGTTTTCCATATGCCTGGAATAAAGAAAACTATTTTGAAAATGGTGTGGAAACTGCAGTTGGAGGAATCTTAGAGGCCTTGAGATAATACAAAGCGATTTACTACTTCCTGGGATTGGGTAAGTCCATTTCGTAGGTGGATCATTATACATATTGTGGAATAAACACTGCAAGAATGAACTGAAGTACTCAGAGAAAACCTGCTCCAGTCCCACTCCGTTCCCACAAATCCCACATGAACTCACCTGTTCAACCTGGGCAGCCAGGCGGAGGGAGAGCCGGCGTCTAAGCGCCTGACTTATGGCACAGCATATATCTTACAATGCACCTAAAAAAAAAGATTCTTGACTTTACTCCTGGCAGTTTTGGAAAAGACAAAACCTAACCAATCTGAACTCCGAATATGAAACCAAAACTCTTAGAAAAACGTAACTGAGACTCAGTCCCGTAATTATAGATAAAATTTACCTGATTCGAGGCGATGTGTGTTTCACAGAGAAGGAAGAAGGGGAGGTTCTTCAGTAATTCTAAAAGCTTCTGAAGGTGGTGGATGGCACACAGAATTACTGGGTGTTTGCACTTTTTCCATTGTCCGGAATTCTAGATAATAGAGTGTTTGAAATTATGTCTTTCTAAGGGGCCCAACTAAATAGGTGTCTTCCTTTCTCACCTGAAGACGGAAACAGATCCAGTTTCCGAAACGTCCTTTCCTCTATTATCTAGAATTCCGGACAATGGGTAAAGTCCAAAAACCCAGTAATTCTGTATCTTTCAGTAAAGTACCCCATTTTGTGCGGCGATGATGAAACTCAATGGAAAGTGTAAGAGTTCTCAGTCAATTAATTGAGATATCTGTTAGTAATATGTAACTGACAATTTCGTTTAAATATATGTGTATTTAATATATATATATATAAATTCTGGAACAAGTTATCGCGGAATTATCTTAACGGCACTGCGAAATTGTCTTGACGGCTGCAGAATTACATTTGCTGTATAAATAAGGTTACGCCCTAATGCCTACTATATGTATTAACTGTCACTTTAGTACAACACATACTAAATTATATATTTTGAAGCTACTTGTGGCATTATTTTATATATTAAAAATTGCCTGCATACTTAACACTTCTATCCTCAATGCTGTGAAAATTAGTAGGTTTTCTTCTGCATGTGTTCAGAAATCCAGGCCTACGGACCCCACCACACGAGTATTTGTTGAATACTAGGCTAGAAACTGTCCTTAATAAAACTTCGACCGACCTATATTTCCTCCGAAAGGGCAATTAAAATATCTGGCAATACTGTACAAATATTCGCACCCACGAAATGTCACATAATTCCGTGATGATCACTGAAGCGAAAAAAGTTCTTAGTAAGATTCCGAATGAAACATAATTTTCGCGAGAAACAAAATTAAAATTAAATGTGATGTGGCAACACGGTGTGACGAACAGAGCAGTGAGAAGTCTGATAATGTGTAGCCAACATTACGTCATTCACTTGCAGCTCCATACTTTCTCGTTTTCCTTCTTCTAGAGGGCATCTGGATTTGTGAGAGAGCTTTTGGTCTTTTGAAATTATATCCAGGAGCATTTCCGCTTCAGCATTGAAAAAGGAATGAAATGATGGAAACTAAAGGCGAAAACAGCCATGCAGCGTTGCTACATATATGCAACTTTAATCGCGTTTCCCGCGACGATTGTGCTTCGGTTTAAAAAGGAATATTCTGTTTTCATTTCTTCCATGGAATTTCATGTTGGAGCCTGTAGCGTGTAACATCCTAGCACTCTGTACACACACAAACACACACACACATGGCCTATGCGAAGAATGGTATCAGTAGTAGTGACAAGTGAATAACACGGAGATGGAAAAATGCTTTTAAGCTTAGAGGTGCATCAACTACACTGTCCTTGTCAAGGAACACTTCTAGAATACTTATATATTTCTTTTGGTTCTGGGACTCTGTAGAACAATTCTACACAAAGAGGGGCTTGGATGGATGAAGATAAATTAATATAGGTATGACACTGAAATAGGGGAAGCGAAAAGGAGTAAACAATTCGGACGGAAGTCTATAAAGGAAAATGAAATAGAAAACGTAACGGAGTATAATATGAGGATGTATTAGCTTCGGGTGGGGAGATAAGAGGAAGAAATTAGATTAATTTTTAGAGCTTGTTGCGTTCTTCGTGAGCCTTCTTGACGATGGCCAGTTTGGAGTGTGGATCGGATACAGGCAGGCCACTGTACGGCGGATCTCGTGTCCCGTGCAACATGAGTGTCCACTCCTTAATGAATCCTGATTGAGGAGTCTGCGAATTGAAGCTTATCTGTAACGTGATAGAAACTGCATTAGGCTTTGTTTCAGTTACACCCCAGAATCCTTCATCTCTTTAACACTGTAGCGTGTAAAACCGTTGCTATGTAACGACCGCGACATTGGCGGATATACCAGGACCGTTTCTTGGTAACAGTTCAGTAAACACGTTCCAACAGCAGTGGATACACATGAAACAGAATAACGATATTTCCTACCTGGTCCGTGCTGATATGTTATAAGCAACAGACAAGGTTAGAGTTTACTTAGTTCTGTACGAGAGTTTGTGAAGAGAGGATTTGAACCAGGAGACAGAGGAATATCTATTGTTGGAACCGTTACCAGGAAACGACTAGTAACAGATTGAGAACATTAGGCTATGTGCTCTTAGTAAACTTTAAAGCGTGACACTTATCGGTAGCGCTGATATTACTTGTATTTACAACCTGTAAGTGGTCAATAAATACATCCTATCCAAAACCCCGTCTATAGTCACTCATACACTTGACAATATTCTTCGCACTTTCAAAGTGTTGTCTTCGGTAGAGGCAGGCAGAAGAACCGACATGGCGATCTGTCCAGATATCGAAGTCAGAGTCCTCTGAATGGAACTTTGAGATACTAAGAATTCTTGGATATTCTTTATTTTCTATTAATTTTTTCCTAGCTACGATCTCGTTACCGAGACAATGTACCGCCGATGGTAACGAATGTTTAACATATGTGGTTTATTTGGTGGAACGTGAATTAGCAGGGGAGAACGAAATATTCAGAGAAAAAATAATTCCTAACGCCAATTTTTCTATTACATATCCCACGTGACGTAATCTGGGATTGAAATCGGATCGCCCGATGATAATGTTGTAACGTGCATAGCTAGGTAACGGCGCGATAAATACCTCCTCGCGTAATCGTACTCAACAATACGGCGAATGTTTATAACTCATTGTTAGACAACAGTCAGCGCTCCAATGGATTAGCGAGGTAGCTGTCACGTTACTGACTTTCTATGAGGTCCGTGCCCAGCCTATATAGGGAGCAGAGAAACTGTTCTACAGGATTTTCGTCAGGAAGACGCCGTTCAAGGCAATTCAATAGTTGAAGTCTTTACTTTATGAGTTATCATTTTTCGTAGTTATGAAATGTTATAGTTTCAGAAAGATTGTGTTACCACTAATTGAAGTTACGACCTATAAGGTGCTAATAAATCCAAATATGCAAAATAGAAGTCGTCACCACCCTACAAGTGAAAATACTGTAACGTGTACCAGCATATTACAAATCACGAATATTTGGTGAACATGAAGCAAGAATATCCCTTTACAATATTTCGACTGACGAAAATTTTTATGCAAATACGATTACGGGAGCAGGCATACTGTGTTGTCACATAGCATTCAAGTTAAATGACGTTTACTCCGTATATTGTATATGGGTCGAAATATTGTCAAGGGATATTCTTTCCTTAAGATCCCTCAAGGAATCGCATGATGGATTCCTTAATCGAAAGTTTTTATTCAGCACGCTTTACAAGCAGTACTATGTACGAATTCCTGTGCGCATTTCACGGCGCCTGTACTGACCTCTAGCGACCAGGTTCCTTGTGGATATTCACCCCATGTATGTGTCGTCATGAAGGGCCATTTGGCGAACCCATCGCGGTGATCATCATCATTCACCCTCCTGCTCAGGATCATTGATCTGCGATGAAAAGGGGAGAAATTAGTTCTCTGAATGAGATGTGTACATCCACTGGGTCAGAGTGACACCGGCAATTTGCCTTACAAACAAAACAACATTTGCAGCAATAACGGCCTTACTATTCCCCCTATTTACTTCCTCTAAAGCTGCATTATATTTCTTTTCATTTCAGAGAAATTAATAGAGAAGGGAGGATAATATTAAAATTGATATAAAGAAATACGATATAAATGGGTGGATTCGATTAATATATTTCAGATTACGTTCGAGTGGTAGGCGCTTGTGAAAGAAACAACAAATACCGTATTTACGCATGTATAGGCCGCACATTTTTTGACAAAAATTTAAGAGGAAAACTGGGGTGCGGCTTATATTCGAAATATTCGAAATCGCACTTCATTTTAAAAAAATTATATTCATAATTAGTAATACAGGATGTTCTACTTCTGAAATAATATTCCAAGAAAATTATTTTTTCTATAATTTCTGTCTNGGGTTCGATTCCCGATGAGGTCATTGATTTTTTTCATGTTACCTAATTATTCCAGCCGCACTATAGCTCTGGAGTCGACTCAGCCTCTAACGCAAATGAGTACTAGGAATCTTCCTAGAGGTGAAGGGTGGCGGGCGGCTGAGGTTGACAACGTTACCTTCATCCGTGATTCGATTGCCTAGACAATGTGGAAGCCTCGACGTCTCACAACCCTATGGGCTCTATGGCCTGTTACAGGGATAGATTTACCTGTATTTTCTAAAAAAATTTTGGTAAATTAGATTTTAGAAAGAATTGCATTTTATTTTAAAGTTTTTGGAAAAATCAGATTGCATATAACACATACAAATAAACAATTACAAATTATTTATATCTGTTATTACATTGCGGATTCCATTTAGGATAATGTATAGCATTTAAATTTATTTGAATCACTGTTCATTTCTTACGAATATTGGATGATTCAATTATAATGTGGTTGAATATAATAATAGTTGCTTATACACTGATAATGTTGACAGAATTTGACAATTACTGAACAGCAGAAAGTCCCTGGTTTCAACTGCCTCGGTGAAAGAAGAAGAAAATGGAGGTCCGCAAGCCCATTACATCAGTCTGCCCTGCGACAAAGCTCTGTGAACAGGCATTGTTTTTAGAAGAAGGCTTTTTCAACTTCGTGTGTCTTTTGTCTGCAATGGATGGCAAAATCTAACAACGTGTCTGCATTAGGTTTGAGTGAAGTTCGGTATATCCGCTACCGAAACCCTTGAAATGCTTTTGCAGAAAATTATTTAAGCAGGACACCGGTTTTTGAATGGTATTCACATTTCAAGGCCAATCTAGTGTCAGTGACCAAGAACCAGCGAAATGACAAAATGTTGAAAAATTCGATCTGATCCACGAGGATCGTCGCCGAACACTCCTGGAGCTCGCAGACACCGCTGGGATCAGTTATAGTGTTTGCCAGAAGATCTTAACAGAAAGTCTGAACTTTCGCCTACCTGCGCCTTCATTACCACAACATGGCCGCCCACACGTCCCTGAAAACCGCAGAATCTGTGACTAACAACAACATGGTTAACATTCCCCGTCCTTTCTCACTGGACTTAATCCATTGTGATTCCGTTTTGTTTCCCAGATTGAAAATGAAACTGAAGTGGCGACGTTTTGAAATAGTGTCTGACATCCGAACAGAACCTCAAGCGGCACTCGACAGCTTTAAGAAAAATGACTTCCACGGGGCTTTTGAAGCTTGGAAAAATCGATGGGATCTCTATATACGTTCCAAAGGAGACTATTTTGAAGGAGATGGCAGCCAAAACTGAGTAAGTTAAGCCAGCACCTATTTTTTTATCTAGTCCGGGAACTTTCCGATAGATATTTGTACATTTTTCGAAGGAGGAAAAGACGACTTTGAAAAAACGAAATGTGTAAGTACGAAAAAATGTAAGATTCCTGTCTTCTTGGACGTGAAGCTGCGTGATTTTGTTGGAAGATATCGAAGTACCGGAAGAACCTGTTCCTTCACATCCAAGAGTGAATCATTCTTTTCTCCCTGAAGGTGGAGGCAGTAGGTTCCTTCGAATCTCTTATACCTTTCTATGAGTATTAACGTATACATCGTCAGATCTCAGTAGACAAACTTCACATTCATCGCTATGAGAACCTCAGACCTCAAGGAATATACAGTTATTGTGATTCTGGACGTTATCCAACGTCTTGTTTTTATTTAAAACATAAAATATTTCGGAGATATGGAGTAGCTTTATCTACTAAGTCCAATTTAATAGATTCCACCTGAAGAAGGAGACAGAATCTAGACTGCGAAATATTGTGTGTTTTAAATAAAGAACAGGGCAATCATAACGTCCAGAAACACAATATCAAGTCATCACAACAATTAGATCTAGGAATATAACTGAATACACCCGCCCCACACACACACGAAAACTGACCTGGTCCCCATGGGGGACGTCAGGAAGAGTTCGACGTCCCCTCGACGTGTGGCGTTTAGGGTGATGACAGCCTGCACATGCTCCAGGTAGCTAACCTGGGTCTCGGTTCCTTGACACGCGTTAGTGTTGATCTTCAGCAGTACCGACCGGCTGGAAGGAATTTCCCTGTGGGCACAAATAGAATTGCAAACATTTAAACTCTTCATGCAGATCATAAACGAACGTAGGCAGATCTGCACGACGGATGGCTGGAACGTGATGCAAGAAAGAGGCAGGAAGAAAGAGCAGAGTAGCAGATTAAGAAGGAATATCAAGGGAAACGTGTGAGTAAATTATATCTAAATTATGAGTTTACGTTTCGCAGAAAATAATATTTTACAATTTGAAACTGCTGCCTAATGAATAGATTCATATTTTAGTGTCCGTGTCAAGTATTAATAGAATGGTCAAATCAAAGAAGATGAGATGGGCAGTACATACAGTACGCATGGGACGGAACACAAAAGTATACAGGTTTTTAATAATCCTTAAAGAAAGAAATTATTAGGGAGATATACTATTTTTAGATGGGGGGATTATATTGAAATGTATAAACATAAATGTGATGGGAGGGTGTGGATTTGATTAATCGGACCAAGGATAAGAAACAGTGACGTGCTCTTGTGAACATGGTAATTGAGTATGTAATGAAGGGATTTCTTAATTATATGGCCACCATTGCCTTCTTAATAAAGATTCGACTCCATGGAATTAATTATTTAAAAAAGACAAAGTAATTTCTGTGCTTAATTAATTAAGCTGTGAAGGCTTATCGAGCAGTAGAGATATAGCTCCATGATTCTTAACCTGGGCACTAGTTGGAAGTGAGTGGTCAGCTTCATGCACCTGTCGCTTCATCCCAAGAGCAAGAGTTCTGGGTACTCATTGGATAGGAGCCGATTTGGAAGGGGTGGAGAAGAGAAATATCTTACCCCTGCCGAAACTCGAAGCCGGACCATTCAGCCCTTAGCCCGTCAATATACAGAATAAACTACTCCGGCTCTGTTAATTGTTTGAAACTTACTGTAAATTGATTTTTTAACCCAATGTCGGAAATTTAATTTATCTGATAGGCAAGTATACCAAGTCTTATTGGCTTATATATACTGCATCTGTCTCTCTGGACTATGTGACGTCATAGAAATCAGCTTCAGACGGAAGCGTCGAAAGGAAAATGAAACGTGTTCCACATACAGGAAGTGGCGCTAGGTGTAGAGAAGCGACAGGTGTAGACGGATGGCTCTTCACGCCATCACGCTGAGATGTACAGCTCACCGGGGAGATAAAAGGACAGAAGTTTCTCTCACTACCAGACTGCAACAACTATCATGTCAAAACTCATTCTGTTCGCTGTCTTCTTTGCGCAAAAGACTCAAAAGAATGGGGGATACATCAAGAAATCGATGCAACAGGAATCCCGAAAGCCGAACAGATGAAAGTCTAGGAGCCCTCGAAGTGTTTCTTGAGAACAGACGGGCAAAGATAATGGCTCCGATACTGATTCTGCGCTTACGGGTTGCACTGTATGAATGTGGAGAGTGCTGTCGGTGTTTCGGCGGTACATACTCCCTCTATCCACAATGATTTTGAGCCTGGAGTTGGCGGCAGCGCGACCGAAACTTCTGCAATACAACTCACAAACACAGTCTAAAGACTAAAGAATAGAATGAATACCAGAGGAGATCCTGGGTGGGAAACTAAAATCATTACAGATGATTTTCATGATTCTGCATTGATCGGGTCAATATGTTTTAAGTTTGCCAAAGAAAAGAACATTTTCAGAGAATTGTTAAAATAAAAAAAGTTCCTCGTTTTTGATTATCGAATTGTGTCTCAGCTAATTTTGAACCGATACAAATGGATATATGCAGACTACTAGAATTTAAAATTTAAATTATACATAATTTCCTAAATGCTAGTTCTTCGTTCTTTTACATCCAGTATTTATTGCCCATATAGGAGGTCTGACGGACCGACTCTGTGATCTAGTGGTCAGCGTTCCTGGCTGTAGATCCAGAGGTACGGGTTCGATTCCCGGCGCTACCAGATTTTCTGAGAAGTATTGGGTCTGAAACGGGGTCCACTCATCCTCGTGATGATCACTGAGGAGCTATTTCAAGGAAATAGCAGCTCCGGTGTAGAAAACCTAAATTAACGGCCTTGGGATTCGTTGCGATGACCACGCAACAACCTCTATCCGCAAAAGTTGGCACTAAACTTCGTCGACAAGCGGCAGTCGCTCGGTCGGTATAGTTCGCTTGCGGACTAAAATCACGAAGTTTGTATACGAGGTCTGACAATAAAGTTCGCGAACTCGTCAGCGTGTGCTTGCAGTGGAAGCAGTCGACAGAAACTTCAGTATGGTTTGATGACGCTGGCTTATCAGCATTTCACAGCTGTGCTGTTGTTGATCTATGACGTCTATTTGTGTCCGAATGCGTTTTGGTGTGCCGTTTCTTATTGCTAATACAAACCTCTTTTCTTTTTCCTTTTCCTCTGTGGCTCTAAAGCCCTTTTGACCTTGGTCAATTTCTCAGTTTCTTAATCCTATAAACAGTTGATAGTACAACTTTGACGGGGGAAAAGCCCTTCACAAGGCCGCTACCTACACGGAGAACAACATTAAGAGAGAATAAACGCACCCAGACATCCACGTCTCAAATGTGATTCGAACCCACGATCCCAGTGTTCGAGCGGGCGAAGAAGGTTCATGCCTCAGATAGCGTGGCCACTACGATCGGCAAATACAAACACTTTACTCCGACCAAAATGTAAAGCATGAAATATTTTTGTCGTACAAACACTGGGATCATGGGTTAGAAGTTTACTCTAGTCATGAATGTCTGTCTGCGTTTATTCTGTGTTTGTGTCGTCCTGCATGTAGGTAGCGGCCTTGCGACAGACTGATCCCCATCCAAGGAACCCTACCGACTGTCTACAAGATTCATAAATTCATAATTAAATCTAAATGAAAATAGAGCCTATTCAAATAATGAAGAATATAAAGGCAATCTATTATTGTGATTTGATTACGGTAAGAACATTAAAAGCGCAGTAAATGATACATCCATGTATTTTTTTTACATTTACACAATATTCTTTGCAGTTCAAATTAAAATCTGTCACCTTGTTATATATCATACGTCACCAGCGTAGCGCATTTCGTCAGTAATAGCTAATTTCGTACATGTTATCGTTAAAAATTAAATTTATTTCGTTGTTCTATTAACCTCTGAAGAAGGACTGCAATCAACGAAATCAGTTTTCAAAATACGCTGCAAGCTCTCGGGAGCACATTTGTTATGTCAATTAATTTAGATTCCTTTAGCAGATTTAAGCAACATTTCATTAGAATTACTTGTTGCGAATGACTGATCGTTGATTAGACATACATATAGATATGTCTTAAGAAAATGGGGATTTGAGAGATGAATATAAATTCTCATAGAGCAGACTTACCTAATACAATTCATTAATTTGTTGTTTGTTTACATTGTAAGCTATAGGTTGGGTCAGAGAAGTAGGACGATGCTTTTAAGTTATTGAATTACAATACAGAATGCGAGTGGGGGTAAATGGAGGTCAGTAAACAGGCACAGTTATGTCACAGTTCCTATCAAATTATAAATGTATAGTTCGGAATAGTAGGAACAAAATCCGGCTGGGTGCATTTGTTAATTTGTAGTTCCTAATGTACGTATTTCTCATGCACAATATTTGAAGTAACTTCCAAAATTATCTCTCCTCGATACATATTTACAGTAAATCCTCGATAATCTGGTTACAGTTAATCCGGACGTCGGATAATTCGGATTCAAATATGATAAATGAAAAGTGCTGTTCACAGTTAAGTACTCTGAAAACGCGTGACATTTGGAAGGCAGATAAGTCATTTTTCTTTTCTGAAACAAATTGACGGTTTGTTCACACCTGTATTATTACGTTCAAAAACAAGTGTAACTTCTTAGACTTCTATCGATAAACAAATGTATTGTCTTTTTATAGTTTTTAAATAAAGGCTATACGAGGATATTTTGTTATTTACTTTTATGAGCACTATCCCTTTATACACGTATCTGCTTTACTAACGTGAAGAACGCATATAAAAGCTAAGAGAAGACAACTAGAGCCCAAAACCAGAAATATGAATTGGCTAATCAGCAAAACTCACAGTTATCACTTGAAAACAAAATAATCATATACAAAACAATAATCAAACCAGTCTGGACCTACGGGACAGAGTTATGGGGATACAGCAAACTTTCCAACACAAAAATTCTTCAAACGTTCCAATCCAAAACGCTAAGAAAACTAGTTAATGCTCCCTGGTATGTATCAAACGCTACCTTACACAATGATCTAAGCATACCATATGTAAAAGAAGTCATCAGAGCATACGCGGAAAAACACAAAAACCGGACCACTCAAAACAACAACCAACTAATAAGAAACCTCTTCAACCAACCAGCAATAGAAAGAAGACTAAATAGAATGTGGCCAGAGGATCTCATTTGATAAGCACCAGAGAATCATCGGAGGATGATACCTGCTTCAATATTACACACACCCATCCTTTTTACTAATTACTCTATTTATGTATATTGAGTAAATTGTAAAGTAAAATAAGCAAAAGAAATCTCTTTGAGTTTTTTCGCCTTTTAGAGCTAGTTAGTTAGTTATTGGAGAGGGTGGGTTTCCCCATGCACTTAGACCTGTATTGGTCCATTGTGCTTCCCTCTATGATTTCTACCAGTCTCTATATCCTACCGGTACTGGTGCTTATCATCAGTCCCGCCCAGCCAGCGAGACCGGCTCTACTAGCTGAGAGGTATCTATAATGCTTCCCCCATCTACAAGAGGTATTAGAGACTNGTAAGGATTCTCTTATAAACAAGCATTATTTTATGAAAATGAGGACAGTTGACGATAGAGGGACTACCGATGGCAGGTTCACCTACCGTTGAAATTCTTACTACTTGCAAACATGGTGTTCTTTTCTCTGTTGGAGCACTATATTATAATCTTAAATAGTATTATAGAGAATATATTTTGTTTCTAATTAATAATTAATAAATCATATCATTAAATAGTAAATTATACAACTTTTTATAAACTTTAATTATCGT